TACAGTTTTGACAATCTTCAGTGGTCATTATTATGTGTGATAGGATGTTTATTTACTGTGTATATATATGTATATATATACTCCCCCCTGGACTGCCACCTTAACGTGGTGGGGGAGTTTGAGTACTCGGATGATCCTGGGAGCTATGCTGTCTGGGGCTTCATGCCCCTGGTAGGGCCTCCCATGGCAGACAGGTCTCAGGTGACGAGTCACACGAAGAGCAGTCCAGAAGACACCATGGACAGCACTAACACGAAAACAGTGACGTCGCCCGGCATGGCGCAGCCGGGGCCCCACCCTGGAGCCAGGCCTGGGGTCGGGGCCCGTATGCGAGCGCCTGGTGGCCGGGCCTTAGCCCACGGGCCCGGCCGGGCTCAGCCCGAAGGGATGACGTGGGCAGTCCCTCCTGTGGGCCCACCACCTGCAGAGGGGTCCGTGGTGAAGCGGTGCAGAGAGGACTGGGCGGCAGTCGAAGGCGGAGACCTCGGCGACCCAGTCCGCACACACAACATCTGGCTCTTGGGACGCTGAACGTCACCTCACTGGGGGGGAAGGAGCCCGAGCTCGTGGGGGAGGTTGAGCGATACCGACTAGAGATAGTCGGCCTCACCTCCACACACAGCTTGGGCTCTGGAACCCAACTCCTTGAGAGGGGTTGGACGCTCCACTTTTCTGGAGTTTCCCGCGGGGAGAGGCGGCGAGCTGGGGTGGCCATTCTCATTGCCCCCCATCTCAGCCGCCACGTGTTGGAGTTCTCCCCGGTGAATGAGAGGGTCGCGTCCCTCCGCCTCCGGGTGGGGGACAAGTCTCTCATTGTTGTGACGGCCTACGGGCCTAACAGCAGTGTAGAGTACCCGGCCTTCTTGGAGTCCTTGGGAGGGGTACTGGACGGTGCACCGCCCGGGGACTCCGTTATTCTCCTGGGGGACTTCAACGCCCATGTGGGAAACGCCAGTGACACTTGGAGAGGGGTGATCGGGAAGAGCGGCCCCCCTGATCTGAACCCGAGCGGTGCTCAGTTGTTGGACTTCTGTGCCAGTCGCGGTTTGTCCATCACGAACACCATGTTCGAGCACAAGGGTGTCCACCAGTGCACGTGGCACCAGGACACCCTAGGCCGGAGGTCGATGATCGACTTTGTTGTCGTATCATCTGACCTTCGACCGCATGTCTCGGACACTCGGGTAAAGAGAGGGGCGGAGCTGTCAACCGATCATCACCTGGTCGTGAGTTGGATCCGCTGGCAGGGGAAGAAGCCGGTCAGACCTGGCAGACCCAAGCGTGTAGTGAGGGTTTGCTGGGAACGTCTCGCTGAGCCCCCTGTCAGACGGACTTTCAACTCACACCTCCGGGAGAGCTTCTCCCAGGTCCCGGCGGAGGAGGGGGACATGGAGTCCGAGTGGACCATGTTCTCTGCCTCAATCGCCGATGCGGCGGCTCGTAGCTGTGGTCGCAAGGTCTCTGGTGCTGGTCCCGGCGGCAACCCCCGAACCCGGTGGTGGACACCGGCAGTAAGGGATGCTGTCAGGCTGAAGAAGGAGTCCTATCGAGCCATGATGGTTCGGGGGACTCCTGAGGCAGCTGTCCAGTACCGGCAGGCCAAGTGTGCCGCGGCCCGGGCTGTTGCAGAGGCAAAAACCCGGGACTGGGAGGAGTTCGGAGAGTCCATGGAGCATGACTATCGGTCGGCCTCGAAGAGATTCTGGCAAACCATCCGGCGCCTCAGGAGGGGGAAGCAGTTCTTTGCCAACACCATGTACGGTGCGGGTGGAGAGCTGCTGACCTCGACTGGGGATATTGTCGGGCGGTGGAAGGAATACTTTGAGGTTCTCCTCAATCCCCCCGTCACGTCCTCTGTTACAGAGGCAGAGGCTGAGGATGTTGGGGCGGGTACATCCATCTCCCTGGCTGAGGTCACCAAGGTGGTTGGTAGCCTCCATGGTGGCAAGGCTCCGGGTGTGGATGAGATCCGCCCTGATTATCTAAAGTCTCTGGATGTTGTAGGACTGTCTTGGCTGACACGTCTCTGCAACATCGCGTGGCGATCGGGGGCAGTGCCAATGGAGTGGCAGACCGGGGTGGTGGTCCCTCTCTACAAGAAGGGGGACCGGAGGGTGTGTTCCAATTATCGTGGGATCACACTCCTCAGCCTCCCCGGTAAGGTCTACTCCAAGGTACTGGAGAGGAGGTTACGGCCGATGGTCGAATCTCGGATCCAGGAGGAGCAGTGTGGTTTTCGTCCCGGTCGCGGAACACTGGACCAGCTCTATACTCTCCATCGGATACTCGAGGGTTCATGGGAGTTCGCCCAACCTGTCCACATGTGCTTTGTGGATTTGGAGAAGGCGTTCGACTGTGTTCCCCGGGGTGTCCTTTGGGGGGTTCTCCGGGAGTACGGGGTCGGAGGTCCTCTGCTGAGGGCCATCCGATCCCTGTATGACCGAAGCCAGAGCTGTGTTCGCATTGCCGGCAGTAAGTCAGACCTGTTCCCGGTGAATGTTGGCCTCCGACAGGGCTGCCCTTTGTCACCGGTTCTGTTCACTGTATTTATGGACAGAATATCTAGGCGCAGCCAGGGGTCGGAGGGGGTCCGGTTCGGAGACCACAGGATTTCATCTCTGCTGTTTGCGGACGATGTTGTCCTGTTGGCTCCAACGAACCAGGACCTGCAGCATGCACTGGGACGGTTTGCAGCCGAGTGTGAAGCGGCTGGGATGAGAATCAGCACCTCCAAATCCGAGGCCATGGTGCTCGACCGGAAAAAGGTGCCTTGCCCTCTGCAGGTGGGTGGAGAGGTCCTTCCTCAAGTGGAGGAGTTCAAGTATCTCGGGGTCTTGTTCACGAGTGAGGGAAGAATGGAGCGTGAGATTGACAGGCGGATCGGTGCAGCGTGCGCAGTTATGCGGTCGCTGTATCAGACTGTCGTGGTGAAGAGGGAGCTGAGCCGAAAGGCAAAGCTCTCGATTTACCGGTCAATCTTCGTTCCCTCCCTCACCTATGGTCATGAGCTTTGGGTAATGACCGAAAGAACGAGATCGCGGATACAAGCGGTCGAAATGAGCTTCCTCCGCAGAGTGGCTGGGCGCTCCCTTAGAGATAGGGTGAGGAGCTCAGTCACACGGGAGGAGCTCGGAGTAGAACCGCTGCTTCTCCACGTCGAGAGGAACCAGTTGAGGTGGCTCGGGCATCTGTTCCGTATGCCTCCTGGACGCCTCCCTGGGGAGGTGTTCCGGGCACGCCCCACCGGGAGGAGGCCCCGCGGAAGACCCAGGACACGCTGGAGGGACTATGTCTCTCAGCTGGCCTGGGAACGCCTTGGGGTCCCCCCGGACGAGCTGGAGGAAGTGTGTGTGGATAGGGAAGTCTGGGCGTCTCTACTTAGACTGCTGCCCCCGCGACCCGGCAACGGATAAAGCGGAAGAAAATGGATGGATGGATGGATGGATATATGTATATAAGTAATATATATATATATATATATATATATATATATATATATATATATATATATATATATAAAATATATACACATAAACCAAGTGGCTGGCACAGTGTACAGAAACATCTGTGCAGAGTATGGGCTGGAACCCCCAAAGTCTAAGTGGGAAACTCCTTCAAAGTTGATGGAGAATGAGCGTGCAAAGATCCTGTGGGACTTCCAGATACAGACCGACCGAATGGTAATGGCAAACCAACCTGACAAAGACAAAGGGCAGAGGACAGCCGTGGTGGTGGACGTGGCAATTCCAAGCGATGGTAACATCAGGAAAAAAGAACACAAAAAGATTGAGAAATACCACGGGCTCAGAGAGGAGCTGGAGAGGGCCTGGAGGGTAAAGGTGACAGTAGTGCCCGTGGTGATCGGTGCACTCGGGGCAGTGACCCCGAAGCTAGAAGAGTGGTTACAGTGCATCCCTGAAACAACCTCGGACATCTCGGCCCAGAAATGTGCAGTGCTAGGAACAGTAAGATATTGCGCAGAATAATTCAACCAATTCAACTTTCTGGGCCTGATCGAGCCCTTGGCCCATCCTCAAAAATATTATACGGTAGAATTATGGCTGATTTCCTTATGGGCAAAACCCATGCTGACCTAGGACTGAATGGAATTGTTTAATTATAAGTTTGGTGCTGTTTCAATCTGCTGGTACCAACTTCATTAATTGTTTCGGTATACATTACCAAATACAGTAAATTCATAAGATCTAGTTTGTGTTAAAATTGGATACAGAGACTACAACTCGATGAAAATTCCACCTCCTCGGGAAATTAATCAGAATAGATCTGATTATTCATGACAGCCAGATTTGATAATAGTTAACTTTTAATAATAAAAGTTAAGTTAAGAATACACTACATAAAATTACCTGATTCTCCATTCAGAATTTGTTTTGATGATGTTAGCCATAAGTGTAGCCATTGTTTTTTTTTATACAACTTTAAACACAAAATGCTGTATTATCAATTTGTTTGACAATTCAATTGTCAACCTACATGAAACTCGTCCTTATAGCTCTCTTTAATATAATACGTTTGAAAAATATATATATTCTTCATAAACTTTTTTCTTCATTTTCAATGTTGATTTTCAAAGCCTGACCTCAGAAGATAAGCAAAGACGGCCTGGTTAGAACCTGGATGGGAGATACTACAGTGAGACAGCTGTGGCTCTTAAGTCGAAGCATCCGTTGTGTCTGTAAGCAAGGCACTTCTTCCACATTTTTTAACATAACACACAATTCTAACATTCTGTGCCTTACAGAAAGCACTGTATGGGCAACAAGAGAATGAAGAACAAAACAAAACAAAAAGGCGCAGGGAGGATCTGTACAACATATATTATTAATTCAAAAAGTGACAAATAAACAGTCAATAAACAGTTGGGCTACATGACACAAGTAAAGGCAACCACTTGTTTTCTGGCATTGCGGGTGCAAATGTCCGAGAAGGTGCAGTTGAGGTCGTGGTTATAGCATTAATGAAGCGGCTGCAGCTGTAGCTCAGTCAGGTGGAAGGCTCGGGCCTGGGTGACAGCCACGAGGTAGCACCACTCCTCCCACCGTCACTGATCTGGCCAGCGTGCCCCAGACTTAGGCCAAAAGCTGGGGATTATCTGCACCGCACTTCCACCCATACCACCCACCACCTCCACACAACTGCACCACGCAAACTTCTCATTTAGTTCTCCAGTAACACTCTCTTTAAGTAGATTTGCGATAGATTGTCCAATATTTTCAATTATGTGATAGAGCCAAATCTTCTCTGAATCATGGAACAAGAACAAGTGTTGGGTTTCATGATGGAGCTTGTCACACTCAACAGCGTCTGCAGGATTATTATTGTTGTAATTTTTATCATTGGTGCCATTGTGTTCCAGAGACTCTTCCTGAAAGACAGTAAACCTGTTTGTCATGTCTGTCAAAGTCGTAGTTATTAAGATGAGTCAACTAACTTTTCTGTTGTGACACATGCAGACGCCGAACCTATAAAATAATACAATTTAGGCTTCAATCACTGCTAATTATAATATCATACACATACAGATAATACAAACACATGGAAAGGCAACCGCAGCTGGTTTACAGAAGTCTGCAGCAAGTTTTTTTAAAAGAAGAACTTCATCTACAAGGCAAATCAGAATTAAGTTGCATTTTAACCCTTTAGGCTTTTTCAGAAATTTGATGAGAGACAGATAAACGAAAACTGCCCTGAAACTTTATGATAGAGGTTTTATACTAAAACCAATAATAATAATTTAAAAAAGTAAGAATGTAGCTTTTGTGGGTTACCCTGACGCTGCATAAAAAGTGTCCTGGATTCAGCCTAGAGGGTTGATGAAACAACAAGATAATCATTTCAGAAGAATCTACTACAGTTTCTAGAAAAAACCCTTAAATTTACATTATTCATTATCTTATATTTTAAAAAGCAAATAGAACAGAGAAAAAAACTGTAAAAGTCATCTTCATTTAGCTTCTGTCAGTCTAACAATCTGTCCGCTCGTATCTACTGTCGGATCTATGACTTCACCTCTTCTCACCGCGATATCCGTCTGAATGATGTCATGGAGCTTTTCTGACAAACATCTGTCTCTATGTGGATTGAAAATAAACAGTAGCATTGCAAGATTTGATAAACGTCTTCACAAAATCAGCTTTTGAAATCTAGGAGGAGTCTGCTTTGTTCCTAATGTGTCGTCTTGTGAACAGAGGGGGAACCTCAAAAAATACTGAAGTTGAACTCTGGGTCAACATTCATTTTATTATTTTGACAATGTTTTAATATTTCCAACAAGCTGGAGCAAGCTGCGTTAGTCCATTTTCAAGAGCAGTACATTTCTTTCTCATTTCAAGCGAGAATTGGGTTTTTAATTTGAAACAAGATGTGCTTTTGTCAAATCAAGATGAAATAACAATTAATTTAAGTGCTTTTATTTTACTACTTCACTGCACTTATTTGCGATCTTTTTCACAGGTTAAACATACTAATTACAAAAACATATGGTAGCAGGCCTAATACACATGACAAAAGCATTATTAACTGTCTGGCACGTACAAATCAAATCTTCTCAGTGTGTAATCAGATTGTTCCCTTCAGAAGTAAAAGGTAAATCCACCTATGTTCTCACCCAAACAGGTTCAGACCAGCCAGGCACTCGGCGGATGTGAGCGGACACGTTACGTTGTTTGTGTTTTCAGTCGTTATCATGGGCAGGGCACTGGGGCACGTATCACCGGCCTGATGCCAGAAGAGATACAAGTGGGAAAAAGATCTCTGTAAACGGTGATAGTGAAAATGAAGTCACTTGCCCGGGCAGATAAAGCAGCGGTGGAGTTTATGTTAGAATGCACGCGTACAACTTTGTGATGGATGCGACGTGAGTGAGATGACTTTGTCTGTTCATGCGTACCGTGAAGGGCCATGCCATGTGCACAGCATGCTGGTACTGCGGCAAAAAGCCTAAATATTCATTGTGTTTGTGCATTCTCTTCTGTAGTCGTTGTCACAGGCCTCTCTCAGCAGTCACGTACACCCAGCTTTGTTTTACACGACAAAACTCTGCTGAATCCAATAATAGTTCTACTAATTATGTATGCAAGCCCCACTGTGCAAGTTTCTTTTTAGATTCTCAGTCTCACACTATAACTTAGTAGATACATCAAATAAAATATGAAAAAGTATGAAAATGCCTTTAAGTCATAGATTTCAGATGGACAATACTAACCGTCGATCTCAAGGACAAAGTTTTGCTCCTACTCGCTCTGGCTCCCATTCACTTATATTGAAAAGTAAAATGGATCCAGTGCCTGCATATGAGTCCCTAAGTCTAAATACAAAATAAATATAAATAAAAACTTCACTAGCTTCGTAACTGTATGTGTCACGCTTTTAAAAAACCATGGTTTAGCACTCTCTGTGATCCGGGTGTTTGTATTGTGATATTGTCTTTTTAAACCATAGACTGTAAATATTAACAGACAGAGTCACGCCTATCTCCGCCGTTCAAACTAATGGGCCAAAAATTTTGCTCTACTGGAGCTATCCAAAATGGCCGCGAGTGGTCCCGCCCACAAGAAAATTATGAAAAAACGCATATGCACATCCGTCAGCCGGCGCAGCTCCATTCATTTGAACGAGTGACTTCAAAAATTCACAGCGAGTAAACTAGAGTGGACCAAAAAAATTCACTCCCCTCAGCATTGACACACATGTGGAACGGAGCTTTGGGTCAAGAGACAACTTTTGGACCATCCTGTAAAGACGTTTTTGAGAGGTAAGAAGAGGCTATATGTTAGCATTGGCTAATTCTTATTCCGACTCCACCCCCATCGGCCCAGGGTGGTATTGCAAGCATGTCAGCGCACGTCATTTTGGTCACTTTTGAGCCGGGACCCGCCCCCACTGTTGTAAACCCAGATATGAGCTCCAACAACTGACCAATCAGGAGCCTTCTGTCCCTGAATGGCGGACAGACCGGCGCTGCTCCTGATTGTCACTTGGTAATTTGGCAATTTCAACCATATTCTCGCTCAAAGAACCTGTTCGAGCTGGTTCGCAGTGAGGCAAACACTTTATGGGTGACTTCAGCACTCACTCAGTCCACTCCTTAAATACGGCCCATGCCTGTATTGTTTAACCGCAAAAATGGTTCATATACTGAATCTCAATCTTCTGCTTTGGTCCGAGATACGTTCTAGTTTGATTTTTGAGTTGGACTTGAATGAATCCTGGTTGAATAGTGGTTTAGAACAGTGAAGAAGCAATATTGACCCATTGTTGTGTCACCCAAACACCATCATATTTACAATAAAAATAAGTGAAAGCATCACAAATTTAGACTGAATAAATAAAACCAAATCCACACAATTATTGATGAAGCACAAACTGTACAATCTTCACTATAAACAGGATTTGTGTTCTCTACAACTAAACAAGCCCCAAAATAAAACAGCGTGTAAATATTTAAATGTCAAAGCTCGACTCCCGCCAGGTGCGGTTTGTTAGCGTCGTATACTGAGGTCTGTATAACTTTCGCTTCCATTGAGAATAATTTAATATAAAAGTGGCACAGTGTAGGTGGGCCCAGTGGTTGGCTGGGTGTGGAGCGGGGCAGCTGGGACTGGTTAGCGGCCTGGCCTGAGCTCACATAGATACAGCAGAGGGTTGATCGCAGTAGGAGAGGGGATAACACTGAGCACGAGAGAAAAAAGAGGCACTTTCAAATGTAAGCATGACATAAGAGGTGCCTCGCTTCCCACACACATCACCAGGAGGCCAGGTTAGGTCACACGGGCAGGCTCTGTTTGTCAGGAGCACTTCACTGCTCAGTGTTCCAGAAATACTACAAACCGAACGGCCACATGTCGCCCGTAAAACACACAGGGACAATTATGCACTTCAATGTTTGTCTTTTTTTCATAAGGTATTTCTGCTTATCTGCTTTGTGTATGTGTTTACGTTAAATGATAAACCATGTATTAGGGCTGAACAATATATCATAATCCCATTTTTGTTGTGATGATGGCGATAAAGATATCACAAAGAGGTGCAATCATTTTATATTTGTGTTTTTTTCATACATAAGCTTCTGCTGCTAGAACACACAGACTCTCTTGGTAGTGGCTGGGAAGAACAGAACACAGCATGTATGGATAGGGAAGTCTTAATCATGAGGTTCACTATATTCCACCACATTTATCTTATTGTTGTACTCACAGCAAAATGGTCCTGGGTTAGACATGTTCTTCGTGTTTCCTCCAGGTGCTCCAGTTTCCCCTATACCACTAAAAACATGTACAATATGCTTCTCCTCTGTTGGACCAAGCGACTCTGAAATCTCAACGGGACTATTCTGTATAAACAAAGGTTAATAATACAATATATATATATATATAAAAAAAGAGATTGAATCCATGAAACAGGTTCATTGACTTCCTGATCAAACTGTGCCTTTGATGAGATGGCATAATTATTGTTACTATCTACACTGCAAAAAGTAGTAAAATATGAGCTAATAATTGTTTAAATTGAGTGCTCTAATCGAAATGTTGGTTTATTTTCTCGTTCCAAGGGAGACATTTCTTGTATCTTTTAAAACAAGATCATTTTGCTTGTCCCATCTTTTTTTAAGACAGACATTTTTGCAGTGTAGCTACAGTACCAGTTACAGGTACAAAATGATGGTGGTTGAAGGTTTTGCATAAAGTAATATTTAACTCTGCGGGGCAATAATAATTGAGGTGCATCTGCAGAATACCAAAACACCACTGTCAAATAGAACCCTGTATTTTCTCATTAGTGAATCTGCAGGGGCTTTGGTTTTCAGGGGGTGTCACGTGAGCCCGCTGCACCGCTCACCAGGGCTGACCCAACGAGACAACCACAAGCACTTGGCTGGCTCCACATGATTTTGGGGGTTGCCAGTGCTCCCTCCATGTTTTGTGCTCCATTTGGGTTTTTCTTGATCCGTCCCGGAGCTAACCACAACGCCTCTCGGGCTAATGTAGAACGACTCTAGCCCGCCGCAAAGAGCAGTGAGGTCATAAGTGTGTGCCCCAGTCCCAGATTTGGCAACGCATATGGGAACTGTCTGTAAATCTCTCTCTCTATCCACTCATCCTCCATCGTTTCCTCTCCTCCTGTCCTCCATCACCTTTGCCTCCGAGTGTGAAGGATGTGACAATCTCGCACCTCATCTTCTCTGCGGCCATTGAAAACATATGGTAACTATATCATCTCTGTATATTAGTCATCGCGGCGCATCTCGGCCGTGCATGCCGAGTTGGCTTTCCCTCAAAGCACAAATCATTAGTGTCTCTGTATCTTGGCCTAGAGAAACTTCTGACGTGTGTTTGTTTAAGACCAGACTGTTGTATGCAGGTATGAGTTACATACAGTAGTGAAATATAGGATATTTTATTTCAGGAACTAAAATGTATGAATATACCATCATTTAGTTAAGTTAATTATTAAGGTAGCATAAAAATCAGATATATATGGTGCAAAATATTAGAATGGATTCAGAATAGCAAGCAAAAAATAAGTATGTCATATTCATCAGTTAGCTTTTCCTTGAGTTTTCTTTAGCCCCAGACCTTTCTTTGTTTTGAATGATACCTGTACAACCCAGAGCATACACAAACCTTTATTTATATTGTTGTGTTGAATTTCAAAAGGCCATATACTGTATCTCCCAGTGTATCACAAACTGTGGCTTGATTAGAATTCTAAAATGAGGACATCATAAAACCTGTTACGAGGCATCAAACTGCGCTGTTATACTAAAAAAACATTGTATTTTCTTTAATGGAAGCCCAGCTCACTGTCTGGGCAAGTCTTTGAGGGCAATTTTGTTGTCCCATGCAGTGTTGAATAGCAGTGTTCCTGTTATCCACACTGTACTGTCCGCATGACGGGGCCTGCCGCTGCTCGGTGCACTGTATATTGGCTGTCAGTCACTCTGCCTCGTCCTCACACCTTCAGACACACAGGTGCCGCTTTTGTTCCTACGCACTCCTCCTCTTCCCAGGCTTTAATTCTTTATTTTCGATGAGTGAGGAGAAAAAAGGGGGAAAAATGAATCATTTCCTCCATCACAACGTGTCAAGTTTCTGTCTTACAAACAGGCCCTTGTCTTTAGTGCAATTTAGCTGTCTTATAGCCATGAGGGCTGTTGTTCCCCCTTCACTTCATTATAGGGCACACAGAGCAGTTCACTCAGGGGACAAGTGCAGCTAACACAGAAGTGCACTTCAGTCGCACACACACATTTTACACGGGAAGCGACAACAAGAAATAATTTACAACATGAAATATCTACGTATTTGTTTAGGCTTTGTTCTAATCTAGATCATGACTGCACACATGCTAAATTAATTAAACAGGAAAAGCTGCTTTCTCATCATACAATAATCAGCATGGTGAATGTGAACAGTTTTCCCCCTACTCTAATCAATGCACAACGTGAAAAGCAATTTGATTTTGTGAATTCAAAGTGCTGTAATGTTGATTGCTGTGTCTATGTAATGGTGCTGGTCCCACCCTGCTGAATGTGTCTCCGCTGTAGGCCACAGTGGGCAAATGTGAAAACAACAAATGTAAAGTGCTCTGTCTCTCAAAGGCGCTACTTAAATAAAGATGACTTACTGTTAGTGTCTGTTTCTTTGAGCTGAGCCTTGTCCCACTCCATAATGTGAATATTTGTTTTACAGAGGTCTGATATACAGAAGCAAAATTTTAAATTTTGGATCAAGGAAGCCATCGAAATCCCCCACCGAACACTGTTAACCGAGACGAAGGAGACTTTCTCATTTCTCACATAGGACACTCTTCTCCAGAGACCACCAGGCACCTGGAGGCGTGGTCAGTCTGATGGACTCCATCGCTGTTAGCAGCCGGAAGGTAAATACATCTCACTCACAAAGTTGTCTGATTATAAGAAACTAGAGATTTTACTCCAGAGATACAGTGTGTAGTGCATGGAGA